CTATCCCAGCTGGACCCAGGACAAAAGCTTAGAAGGAAAATTGGATAGTAATAGGCTTCCTATTTGGGCTTTTGCAAAAATTCACTGTAAAAGTCTTTTGTAAAAAAAAATTAATAAAAATTGTGTTAAAAATTTCATTCATTAATGAATGAAAAATAGTAGTCTTGATAAACTAATCTAGCCATTACTTTTTATGGATTGTGTTATATCTGATGTTCATAGATATGTGTAAAATGGGGAGTTCCACATTTCAATGCAGGCATTGGTGTTGCATCATGTTTTCCAACCCCATGTAGTTCGCAATGAAGATTTAGTGCCCTTTTATGTTTTGTTGCAGAAGGAACGGACTGATAATAGCCATGTTACTCTTTCAGGCGGTACATGAAGCACAAACGTGATGATGGGGCAGAGAAGCACGACGATGAAACGGTTGATGTGACTCCAGTAATGATCTGTGTATTTGTAGTGATGTGCTGCTCAATGCTGGTCCTCCTTTATTTCTTCTATGACCACTTAGGTACTCTTAAAGTTGTATTGGCATTGATATGTCTTCAATATCACAAGGCTGCCATCATTTAAAGAACATTTTGCTGGGAAAATAATTATGAAAGAGCTGTCTCCTGCCATGTTTCTTCATCTCAAAGATGATGAAGGGAATGGAGCATCTCCCTTATGAGGAAAGGCTGAGGGAGCTGGGTCTCTTTAGCCTGGAAAAGAGGAGACTGAGGGGTGACCTCATCAATGTTTATAAATACGTGAAGGGTGAGTGTCAGGAGGATGGAGCCAGGCTCTTCTCTGTGACATCCAGTGACAGGACAAGGGGCAATGGGTTCAAACTGGAACACAGGAGGTTCCACTTGAATAGGAGAAAAAACTTCTTCACGGTGAGGGTGACAGAACCCTGGAACAGGCTGCCCAGAGAGGGTGTGGAGTCTCCTTCTCTGGAGACATTCAAAGCCCGCCTGGATGCGTTCCTGTGTGATCTGATCTGGGTGTCCTGCTCCGGCAGGGGGAATTGGACTAGGTGATCTCTCGAGGTCCCTTCCAATCTCTAACATTCTGTGATTCTGTGAATATGATTTAGTACCCTGTAAGAAAAGCCAATGAGTAGATTTCTGTACCTACTTCTAGTGAGGCTGGATTAGGGGATCACAGAGCTTCTTTCAAAGGTGGGAGCCTACTAAGTAGATAGATACTTAATGTCTTCCACCTTTTATTTTTGTCAAAGGTGTTCTCAAACCTATACTTGTCTTTCTATTATTATTCAATTTGAAGTTAAGTTGTGGGATCCAGAATCAATTTTTTTATCTTTATAAAGGTGATAAGTTTCTAGTGATCACTTGTCAAATTGATTGACAAAAGAACATGGGAACCTAATGCACTGGAACTTCCATCCTCGTATTTCTGAGGAAGTTACAAAGAATGCGTCCCATCTGCGTTAATTCGTTTTGTTACTCAGTGATTTTAAAAGTTCCCTTATAATGCTCACATATACTTCACCATAAATTGCCTTTTAGGCTTATGATTAGTTACTTACTTTAGGAATAGTAGCACAGAGGTTTTGATTTGTTGAAGTAGCTGTTCCATAAAGTACCCTTGAGTAAAATGCGCTAGAATTAGATACGCTTGAAGAGCCTAAATCTAATCAACAATCATTTGAAGTCTCTGAGTTATTTCTCCTTATTTCTCACTCAGGCTTTTTGATTGTCTGGTCTTTATTCAGACAGGATATGAAAAAAAGCATCTCTTACCTTATTCTACTTGGACTTACTACTTTTTCTTTCTCAGTCTATGTTATCATAGGAATATTCTGCCTGGCTGCCTCAATTGGTCTTTACAGCTGTCTGGCTCCTTTTGTAAGAAGATTCCCCTTGGGAAAGTGTAGGTATGTGTCAACTCCTACATTTTTAATAGGCAAAATTAATTGTTTTTATAATGTTGGGTATTTGTGGGGTTTGCAAGGTGGTTTCGTACTTCAAAATGTTTATAAAGGAGAAGGGTAACTACATAGACAACTGTAGCTTTGGTGTGTTTCATTTGCAGAATCCCAGACAACAGCTTGCCTTATTTTCACAAGCGTCCACAGGTGCGGATGTTGCTATTGGCGGTATTTTGTATCTCTGTCAGCTTAGTCTGGGGAATCTTCAGAAATGAAGATCAGTAAGTGTATATTTTAGTTTCTGTGCTAGAAATTGTACTATGTTTTATAGTATAAGTAACTGACATCCGTAGAAGCCTAAACTTACCCAGAATTTAGAAGTGACAGGAAAGAAATTAGAGACTTGGTCAGAAATTCTTTGTTGTTCCATATGTACTTCGTATTTGTCGTCTTGGTTTAGGTTACAGAAAACTGTTTCTTATTAAGCTTGAATTTCACAGACTCTGTCTGTATTCTGATCTCTTTGGCTTAAGATAGCTTTTCAGCAGTCGTATGGAAAGTTGGACAGAAGTTGTCTAACTTATTTCTTCAGGTGATGGTCTGCATGTGCATTTGGTCAGAAAATAAGAGCTGTGAACATTGTCAGATCTTTAGTTTCTTTCAGCTGTCTGGTATGAGTAGATAATTCTCTATGTCCAATATTGCTGCAGTACCTGATTACAGCATGTTCTTACCACTTCTGTTATTTTTTTGGTGTTTTGTTTGTTTTTTTTCTTGGTTTTTTTACCCCTTGCCTCACTCCCAGCTCTTCCAATTTCCCTATGTATAAATGATGTGTTCATCTACTTGGTCCCCCTGTCAGAAATTCTGTGTTGGAAATGAAAAGCTGGCTTGTGTTTCCACTGATGGTACCAAGATGTCTTACGTGTGCCTTGAATGCCTGTTAATGCCCTTGTGGGGTCCATTTGCTGTGTTAAGGACATGGACCGTTCACTGACAACTCGTAAATCCAGGAAGCATCAACTCTGACACGCCTTGTAGAGAAATAAGTGTCAGACTGAGGAGTGTGGAGCTATTCCAGCCTGGGATATTTAGGACTAGGAAATCTGTTTTCTACCTCAAAGCTGGAGTGGACTTGAGTGTCTCCTGCACAAAGCTCCATCAGCAAGTGCTTGGGTATCAATCACAACAGCATAATCTCTCATCTGCATCTAGACCTTAGTGATTTTAGGGAAACCTTAGTGTTTCATATCTCAAATCCTGCTGCTCTTTGATCCTAGCAACCAAGAGTAAAGCGAAGAGCCTTGGTACTTCTATACCCAGCATGAAAAACGCAATGAAGAAACAACCCCAGCTGGAGGCTTCCCTCAGCACACAAGGGTGTACACTTGTACACAGGCTAAAGCACCCCAGTACTTCCTATTTTGGTACCCACTGACCTTGTTCAGCAGTTTTCAGTCCACCTCACTGTCTGCTCATCTGGCCTATACTTCATCAGTTTCTCTATGAGGATCTTCTGGGAGATTCTCAGTGGAAAGCCCTACTGAAGTCTAGATGGGCAACATCTCCACAGCTATTCCCTTATCTACCAAACCAATCATTTCATTGTAGAAGGTTATCAGGTTGATCAAGCACACCATTTGCAAACCCCTGGTGACAACAATGTTGATTTTAAGCAAGTACTTTTAATGGATATTAAGTTTTTTGTCCCAAGCAGGTCCTTAGTGAGGACAAGGCTTGGTCTGGCTTTCCTACTGTTTCCTGCAAAAATATTACTCTCTCTTTATGTAGGTGGGCTTGGGTTCTGCAGGATGCTTTAGGAATCGCTTTCTGCCTTTACATGTTGAAAACAATTCGCCTGCCTACATTTAAGGTATGAAAGTAAAACAGATGTAAAAAGAGGATGTTTGGCTGTATATAGTTGAACAGAGGAGCCACTTACAATGGAGTACATTGGCTTGGAAATGCACCTCAGGTCATATGTAGCTTGGAAAAGAGCGATGTAATGAGGATGATGTAGACCAGTAAGTGGCATGTGATTGTTAGGCATGGTGTTTGGTAACTTAAAGTTCTGTAGAGTATTGACTAGTAGTAAATCACACACCACACGCTCACTTGTGGGTTTTTTTGTTGGGGGTTTTTTGTTATTGTTATTTGGTTGGTTTTATTTGTTGTTTTGTTGGTTTTTTTTTTTCAAATTTGACAAAATTGATGCATCATTCCAGTGTTTTCTAATATCTTCCAGAACTTATTCAGTGTCCTAAGATAAAAATCAGTATTAGTCATTTAGTTGCCCCTTAAGCAGCTCTTCAAACTGTGTTTCAAGTTATCTTCACCTATACATTTGTTTACCTGTACAGATTGGCCAAAGTAATGTGGATACTATTTCAACCTATGCCTAGCCTCCTCCAGAGAAAATGCAGAACTTCTTAGTATTTCCTAATAAATTGAAATGGCACCATTTCCAGATTTTACATGATAAAGAATTTTAGGGACTAACATGTAATTTTGTGTCTAAGATTTACTGTCTTTTATGTGGTGCCTGTGAGACCCAGTTCCTCCATCTAAAATATTTGGGAATGAAGAAAAATATGTGGGTGACTTGTTTTAATCCTTGTTAGCTTTTACCTTGAATAGATTGAAGTTGCTAATTATTAATTCTTTGCTGTTTACTAATGCGTAGTATGTAAATACAAAGTGTCTCATCTCTTCCTTCAGGGTTGTACCTTGCTCCTCCTGGTTCTTTTTGTGTATGATGTATTCTTTGTATTTATCACACCTTTTCTAACAAAGGTGAGTAAAGTACTTCACTAGTGCCGGCTGCTCACAGAGCAACGTGTCGTGACCCGCTTCTCTGTGTTCCTAAATGATCCCAGACCTGCTGAGTGAAGTGCTGACTTACAATTTTCCCCTTTTTCCTTTAGAGTGGGGAGAGTATAATGGTGGAGGTGGCTGCAGGTCCATCAGATTCTGCCACTCATGAAAAGGTACTGTATGTAGTCTGAAAATATGGTGGTAACTTCCAGCTATCACACTTTCAACTTCTCTAAAATTCAAAGACAGCAAGCTGACATGGAGATGTCAGTCTAAAAAGAATTTTATGTGGAAATAAGCACTCCTGAGCTCTCTGGAAATCTACACCAAACACAGGGGGGCAAAGCAGACTTTTCGTGGTTCATCACAACAGCTTTGGTCTTCCTTTATCTTGCTTTAAAAGGGTTTCAGTATAAAGATGGTTTAGCTCAGCTTCAAAAAAACATGTGACCGCATTTGTAAATATAACTTATTGCTAATGAAGCATATCCATTTTTACCTAAAGAGATAAAAATTGCATGATCAGTCTGTCTCTTCCCCCTCCTCCCCTGTTTTGATAAGTGCTTTATGAAAAGCTGAGGCTGTAGGCAAAGGAGACAAATATGGGCTGGAGACAGAAAGAGAACAGTAGTCAGCGTTCGGTGGTTCTGTACTGTTTGACAGCAGCCAGCTGTACGCACAGAGCGTTAGAATGGAGGAGGGAAGTACATGAGATATAGGAGATAGTGAGAGACAATGTGCAAAACAAAGAAGAAATTAATCTGTAGAGGAACTTGGGTCTCTTCAGCAATGAGTGTAATACTGTTGCATGGGAAAATAGTAAAGAAAATGGCTGTTTGCAGGATGGACTATGAGCGGGTCAATCCATACAGTCCATGCTAATTTCTTTAGCTTCTTATGTTCTTGCCTTTTGTACCCCTTTTGTACCCTTTTTGTTTCAGTTTTATGCACAGAATGAATTGTATAAAACAATAATGATAGTATAAGTAGATAAAATTTATTCTGGCACTAACTTAAGAAAAGAAAAACTCTAGTGCACTATATTAAAGAGAATATGTGTTTGCAATGAATGTTGCCGTACTGTGCCTCAACATTTACAAATTCTGTAATAAATAGGAACACTTGGGGAAAAAGTCTTTAAAGTGATTTGAAAAATCACTTTTTAAAATTATTCAAGTCTTTACTCTTTTGAGATTTTATTGCAACCAGTAGAATGAAATATAAATGGTTATTTCTTATACGTATTGCAGCTTACTTAAATTCTTTATGTTCCTGCAGTTAAAGCAGAGCTGATACCCTACTGCATGTGAGGACTTTGAAATATAGTCTTTAGAGATGTCTGTCATGCAGGGTTGTCTTGGCTAGAAAGTATTTCATCACTCCTATCTTAAATACATTTCGTTGGTCATCAGTAATATTAGTTAAATGTTTTTAAACGTAAGGATCTATAATGTAAAAAACAGACATTTGTTCTATTTGAAGTCTGCACTTCCAGTACAACAGGAACAAGTTCTGGTAAATGGTGTCAATATGTAGAGAAAAGAGCTTTCATAAGGCGTATGCCTCTCTCATTCCAAGCTCCCGATGGTCCTGAAGGTTCCACGGCTGAACTCCTCACCGTTGGCTCTGTGCGACAGGCCTTTTTCCCTCCTAGGATTTGGAGACATTTTAGTCCCAGGTATTTCTTGGTTAGCACGTTAAGAATTTTACTTGTTGCATTTTCATCTTAGTTTATGTCTTTTGTACTTCTGCTTCAAGTGGGAATTTTGATTTGACTTCTATAAACCTGATAAATTAATAAGTAAATCTTTTATGTTCTTTTTTCTGCAATGTTCACGTTTTCCGTAAGAATTTAACTGCACAGTTGTCTTATGGTTCGGTTTCACATGCAGTGGTGTCAAGAAACTTAGAGAAATCTCAAGAGTTGATTTAGCAACTAATTTGATAGTATGAAACATCTTTAATAGTGTGGAAATACAGGAAATTATTTGTCCATTTGCACATTCTTTGAGTACCCACATACATGACCGCTCAGAACTTCATCCTTTTGTTAGTCAACACAACATCTGGTGTTTTGCCCACACCTTCTCTCAGATTTGACTTTAAGATAGTATGTAGAAATATGCCAGGCACCACTGCAGGTGCAAACAAGTATGCATCTGCTGACTTTCGGACTTCTTCTGAGAAATCTTTTGTTTATTTTTTTGTGTTTTGGGAAGTATGATCTGTGTCATCCCTGTCCATGTCCCCTCCTCCCCCCGACCTCGAATAGGCATAGTCATTAATCATTAATTCCTACTGTCTTTACCAGGAGCTGGAAGGCATGAATTTACCCTTATTCTTGTTGTGAACACTGTATTTTTACAACTGTTTAGTAGGGAAGGGATGACACTTTGTATCTAGGATCCGTGTATTTGTAGATGTTAATTGTATTATTAGAGTGCTTCTGTTGTACCAGGCTTATGTTATCATAGAACTGGTTTGTAAGCTGTGCAGCCTCCTGGTTACTTTAAATATCGGGGTGCCCAAGTAAGTGTTAAAAAAAAAAACCAAAAAACACCTTAAAATTTCCTAGATAATTCAGGGGTTTTGTGTATCTGAATGTGTGAATGGGTTGAAAGCATGCTGTAATTGTTCTTTCCTTTCCTAGGCTTACTGGTAGCCTATTGCCATAGATTTGATATTCAGGTGCAGTCATCCAGAGTCTATTTTGTAGCCTGCACAATAGGTACGTATAACAGTGACATCTGAACACCATACCTATAGGAGCTGCTCCCTTTAAAACCATACCATCAATCTCATCTTTTTTATCCTTCCTTTTATTATTAAACAGAAATATTTTAGCAAAGTACTTTTGAGGCTAGACCTTCCATCACCAAGTTATCTGGTGTCATTTTCCTGAGCTGTTCTGGCTGCCATCTATAAGGGGAGCTTCTTGTTACCATGGTTTGTCTCACTGTAACCCTTAGTTCTACGCTGTCTTTATGCGTGCATAGCTACTCATTCTGGTTTCTTGATTCATAATTCTTCGAGTTTGTTGTATATGGGAATTCAGGGTCAGGGATATCTTCCTTTGACTTTGTATTCTAAAAATCCATGACCTCCAATGCAACAAATTGTATTATGATGGCTGTAACACCTCTAAATTAGTTTTCTTCTGTAGAATCCACAGAGTTACATGCTATAGACTTAAAGATGACCGAATAGGATCTTACAGATTTCTGTTGGCTTTGTTACAAAGTATTGACGCTAGCAAAGACTTAAGATGCTTGCAGTTAATGTCATGAAAAACTTTCATTAAAAACTGCTTTAGAAATTCCTCTGATAAAATAGCTAGGCTTTGGGAGACTTATGGCAGGGTTAGAGAGTTGCTTTTATTTCAGTGTACCAAATTTCCTCTTGTATATAACTAGACAAAACTGTCATCTTACCTGGAACTTTCAAAATGCTTTTGCAGAAATTGATAGGAAAATGTTGTATTGATGAAGAGTCAGCAGTGTACTATTGCAGCAGTGAAAACTAACCACTTCCAGGACTGTGTTAGCAAGACTGAGTCAGCAATATGAGAGAAGTGATTATCCCCTCAATTTGGCAGTTTAGACTTGAGTCTTAACCAGGATCTGTAATAAGAAATTATTACAGATAATTAATAATAATAAGAAACAGCCAAAGCCAAGCCAAACAAGAAGCAGTTGTTATAATGGTCAAAATAATTGTCTGTATCTGTTGAATTCATAAATACAAAATGAGGCACAATAATTAGTTTCTTTATTTTGCCTTTCTCAAAGTGCTTAAGGTAATGATTGAATTGCACAATGTGAACTAGGGCAATCACACTACTTTCACAACATGTTATTATCAACAGCAAGACTGTAGTATCTCTTACATAAAGCACTACTCCAAGTTTACATTGTGTGTATAATGCTTGTGTCTAAAGAGGCCTGAAGAAATTCTGGAGATGTTGGTTTACAAATTACTTGAAATAAGTTCCTGTTAAAGTGTTCATCTAGCTAATTGTTGAGTTGTTCTTGAGCAGAGCTGTATCTAAATAACTGGGTTTTGCTGGTTGTATTTTTTTTCTTTTCCCTTCCAGCGTATGGCATAGGCCTTCTTGTGACCTTTGTTGCCTTGGCATTGATGCAGATGGGCCAGCCCGCTCTCCTCTACCTGGTGCCCTGTACTCTTCTCACAAGCTTTGCAGTGGCTCTTTGGAGAAAGGAGCTTGCAATGTTCTGGACGGGCAGCGGCTTTGCGGTGAATACCAGTTTGATATGAGTGTCTTCAAGAAATACTAATATTATAAAAACCTAACTAGACTTAAAGTTGAGTAAATATTGCAGTATTATCAAACAAAACCAAAGATTTTTTGTTTTGCTTGATTGTTTGCTTTTTTACAGACATTTTAGCCTCAGTAACGTTTTCTTTTTTTAGTTTTATGGGCCACTTAAACTTGCTGATGAAAAGTAAAATAGACCTTGTCTGCCCTTCTTGATTCTGCCGTAATTTTACTGGTTTGATCTCTGTTTAATTGTTATTATATAAAATATAATGGTTTATAATAATATATAAAATACGTCCTTAAAATCTTTTTCTTCATTATTTTTCATAGCCTACTGCTTATGGCAGTAGAAATCTAGTTCAGTACAGTAGATTATCACTTTGTTTCACTGTGGTACAAGTGAAATGAATTTGATTCCAAAAGGAATCGTTTCTGTCGTGATGCATGATTATAGAATAATTACTTGAAGGGCAAATCTATCAAGCTAGGTGTTCCCCTCAGTGAGGTTCGTTTTGTTATTCAACTAGTTGTGATAACCTTCAAAATTTTCATCTAGAGAAATGAATTTATTTGTTGAGATCATCTGAAATGTGATGGAAAAGTTGCCAGTTGTTGTACACTGATAGCAAAGGTGGGCAAAACCAGAGAATGCCAAAGTGCTGTTTGCCAGTTCCTGCCTGATCAGCAGAGCACGTCTGAGATCAGCAAGGAGCGATCAGGCAGAAAGCAATTAAACCCATTTCTGGAAGAAAAATCCCTTTGTGTACTATAAAATACAAAGACGGGATAACTGTATGCATGTCTCCACTACTGGATAATTAGAGCAGAGATGATGGACCTGTAATCGTCATCTTGTGTGACCATCGCTCCTGATAACTGGGCACAGTAATTCTTGCTTTCCATCATTCTGACTGTGATCTTCCAATTACAGAAAGACCTACCTCAGCCTCCCTTGGTGATAGCTCCTGTCAGCTGCCCTGAGCTTCCCAAAGATGGCAACGTACCAACCTCTCAACAAGACACAGAGCAAATGACCAATCCCACCCTCCACACGAAGGAGCTGCATGGCCCCACCTCAGCTGCAGAGGAGCTGGCTGATACTGACACAAAGATGGACCAGTCAGAAATTTCTATTGCACAGAGTGAGGAACCAGCTGCTCAGAATAAGGACGACCTTGAAAGCAAATGCCTGAACGCAGAGCAAAAACAGCTGGAATAAGCAATGGGATAAGAACTCCTTCTTTTCCCTCACAAACATGTCCATATAAAACCAGTATGTATTTAGGACTGGTTTAGTAGTGTTTGTGTTCATTGCGGAACCTCACTGGGAGTCTGATCATCAAATCCAACAACGAATGTACTGCCTCCAGCTTCAGTCCAGCTATACACTTCAAACATCCTTCTGAAATATGGTGCTCTACAAAGGTTCTGACGGATGGATTTCAGTGATCATTTTATTAGTGAATGCCTTTGTTCTGTTTTCATTATACTGGGGCAGTATTAAGAGTTTTTATTTACACAGTACCCTGTGCTTGTGTGGCTATTTTGCTGCTTTAGCGTAGTGTAGGTTGACATGGAGGAAGAGCATTGAACAAGTCTGCTACAATGTTTAGTTGAGAGAAACCTGATATTTTTTTTCTGTCACCTTTTATTTTACTTTTCCCTACTTGTCAAAGCCATTGATACAAGGGAATGCTTTAGTATAAACTGACATTCAGGAAATGCAGAGAATGGTTGAATTACCAGCCTCTGAAAGGATTTATACTACCGTGGTGCATTAAATGCATCTCTTAACTTTTTTGTCTTTGTTTTTACTTCCAGGTACCTGGGTTGGCTAGTAGTCTAGTTTAACAGGCAGGATGAATGGAGCTACAGGAAGCTTTCTGAGCACTCCTGTGAACTCTAGGGGCTGTCTCTGAAAATAAACAGTGTTTGTCACACTGTCTGGAAGGAAAAGCATATTAAGAATGTTTAATGTTTTAGAAATAAAATACAAGCCAAATAGGTAAGAAAATAGGTAGTAGTATAGTAGCTTAGTATACTAAGCTTAATAGGCAGTATTTTCATTGGGAAAATGTTAAAGTAAAGCAGTAAAAGTTCATATGTCTGGGGTTTTGAGCTTCTACTTGTTATTTGTTTAAGGAATGTAATTGCAATTTCTAATTCTGAAGAAATAATCTGGTATTTTTATTCCCAAGTAAGCACATATGGTGCTATAGTCAGTTGTGATTTAAAGCTACGTGCTGCTCAGTAACAAATCAACTGCCTCAGATTTCCTGTATAACATGATCAAGTATTCTATGCATCAGCTTTAGTACACATAGCGGGATGATGTGATTTGCATATTATTTATTCCATCTGAGAACATTTAGCTTTATCAAAGGTGTCTGTTCTACACTTAAATTGCAATCCCAGAAAGCCTCAAACACTACATATTAAAACTGAAATAGAAGTTGGAAGGATTCTAGGATCCCAGAATATGATTCCACATTGCGTGGAAGAAATACTCTTCAGAGTATTTCAGAGCCTGCAATGTAATTTACGGAAGTATCATGATAGTGACATGATCAGAGGCAATGTTTTTAAATTAAGAGTGTCCAGTTGGCATGTTGAGTTGGATTCTGAAGGGCTCTCTTTTAATGTCTCTCTGTTAAATTTCAGCCATTGTCTTTTTGGCTAGGTCTTTCAAAAGTTTGCCATGTGCTTTTTGGATGGTAACTTCTGTTAAAAATCTGTTTCACATTTGGTGGATAGAATTCTTTCTCTAGAATGTGAAAGGCTTTCTGCAAAGCCACACTATGGCTTCAGGGTTTTACCAGCTTCTGCTTAAAGCCTCAAGCCCTGTCTGATAAGTTGATTTAATGGTGAGTTTCTTGAAAGGCTTCCTGAGTCTAAAGGCCTGCACTACATTTAATTTACAAATCACCCTAATAGAAAACAGTAGTACTAGAGATCTGTTTTCAAGATCCTCTTTAATGGACAATGTTACTTTTGCCAGCATTAATCTAAACCAATTTTTACTAATAAAAAGCAACAGAGACATTTCACTGAAAACTTCAGCCAGCTGGATTATGCCTTAATTTAAGCCATTGTATAAGTATGTATATAAATTAAGAAAACAATCTTGTGTTTAAGTAATGAACTTGACAAATAGCAAGAAAATAAGTTTGGAGACTGACTCAAAGTTCTATGGTTTTTGCCTTGATTGTCTTTCAGTCATACCGTTATTTGGAATAGCTTTTTGTATACTTAAAAGCCAGTAGCTTTCTGATGACGAAGCATTTTTACCATCTACTTTAAAGTGTATTTTAACATCTGTTCTCATATGTTGTGGGTTAGGAAACAGTTTATTTCTCAATTTGTTTGTAACTCCATTAAAATGGAAGAATTCCTAACACATCACTTGTAGGCATTTAACAGCTGCTTTGTTTACATTACATTCTAAATAGGTCTGCTTGGAGCATGTGCTTCACCTTATGTTGCTGGGGGTTTTCCATTTATTTTTAAGTGTGATTTGTTTGTTGTTTTGGGTTTTTTTTACAAACTACAAAGATCAACGCTGGAAAAAACCAAGAACTACTCAATGCAGTGTCTCCAGTTAATGTATGTAAACTGGCGACAAGTTGCATCCTTGGAGTATTCCAGTACTGTACAAATCAGGCGACCCTGGTGCACCAGTTTGGCTGCTACTGTTCGGACCCTGATCCTGGGCAGTTCAATCACTTCCATCAAAAACCAAGGCTGTGATTTTTTTCATCTTTCAAAAACCTCCCTGATCAGCTTAATGTAAAACTTTATGTTGTATAGGAAAATGTGAAGATACGTTCAGTGTAGCTGACTCTAATTCTGTTTTATGATTGCAGATATACATCCTACATCCAACTAGAGCTAAAATGCTCAATTAATGAAAGTAATGTTAATATTAAATGTCATGTTGAGGTGCTTCTTGTTTACATCTTTCAGACATTAAGCCTTTAGCTAACCATCTAAAAATTTAATAATAACGATTCTGTTTCTGAAAACTTGTATGTGTTCAGGGGAAGCACTTGTTTTAGTGGAGAAGAAAACCCAACCAAACAAAAACTCCGTAAACAACAACAACCAACCCTACTGAAAAACCCATTAAAAAATAAAAAACCCAAAAAACTCTTTGAATCACAGTAGTGAGGATTGGATTCTTTCCTGGGTCTGAAATTGCTAAATACCAGTGTGTTGGACCAACTGTTTGGTTTGGACTGCGTTCTCCCGAAGGGTTGCACAAATGCAGCTGGAGGTAGAATGCAACCTGAAAGACTTTACTAAGGGTGACAAGTAAAGGAGAAGTATCCCAAACCCTCTTCTATTTTTTTTTTCTTGACACAAATGAAGATCATTTGAAATTAAATATATAAAAAAACAAACAAAAAATGTATTCAAAAGTATATTCTGGTTTTACCTGTGGCAGTAAAAAAGAGCACATCTTCATATGAAAGAACTATACTTGTGAAAAAATCTAATGTTTTCTCTAAACTTGGACAAATGCCAGAAGACAGTAAATCTGCAGCAGAGCACATTTTCTAATAGGTTTATTAATGTGTCTAATAGAAAGCTTGGTTTCATTTTTTTCCTCCTTCGTTTATAGTAACAATATTATAGTAACAATACCAAATTTTTTGAACTTTTTATGTGATGTCTTCATCTCAGATAATCAGCAAAGCTGCTCTGTTCATACAGTAGCCCTCAGTATGTCTTTTGTTAAGAATGCTTTGCAAGTCTTTATGGCATTTTTCAGACATGCATGTTTCTGTGTTTCAGATTTGGTGCTTGCATCCACGATGCATTGCTCGGACTGAGAACATACTGTGACGATAATGGTAGTGGCTGTATGCTGGGAAATAGCACTGACTATGGAGCCAGAAGGAAACCAGCTAGTAATCAGCACTGAAATAATATGATTTGGAATGCAGCCACATTCTTAAAGTACATGAATGAATTAAGACACCATTTTGGAGATGTGATTAAGTAGTTTCCTACTTAATCACAAACCGTGTTCTCCTGTAGGTTCTTGCTTTGAAAGCTCTTTCAAAACACAATGCTTGGGTCTACATATATGCTCAGTGTCTCCTAGATATCTCACCCTACAGTTTTTGTACAACTTTTCCTGTCTAGACAATTGAAAAAAAAAAAAAGCCTATATTGGGTGTTTGGTAAGAGTGTAACAGTGTTGCCTTAAAGTCAACTCTTGCATACAGCTATTTTAGTGCAGATCCTGCAGTTTTGTTCTTGTCTTTCTTCTCTTTAGCCCCAAGGTTGGGTAGTGCACGTATTTCTGGTTTCTTGCACTACACTGGCTGTTTAGGATGTAAAGCCCTGTAATATTTCTTTTTAATGGCAGCTTTGTTGATTATCAATTAACAAAACAGTATTCTGTATATTTTCATTGTTTGGTGTTTTATTTGTAGTATGTTCGTGGGTAAATAAGCTGGCTAAGCAGTAATGTGCAACTGCTGGATTTTGACGCACATCACCTTGACACAAGTAAGTGTTTGAAATGTAGATGTGCCAGCAGATCCAAGTATTTTTCCAAAGCCTGCAGAGATGGTGCCTTTTGCCATGACAAATCTAATCTCTGATGTTTTAAAACAAAGGGCTGTGTCTTCAGGAAAATTAGAACTTTCATATTAGAGAGTCCAAAAGCGAACAGGGAACTATGATCAGAGGTCCAGAAAACATCAGCAACAAGGAAAGGTTAATCTTTCAGTATTTTATTTAGAGTGTGTTTTCCCAGGTGGCCAGCAGGACATGAAGCACAGAGTCACTTACAAGCTCTTTGACTTCTCAGTTTAGGCTCTATGCCAATGGTGCTAAGTGGGATGGAGAGGGAAACGATAAGAAAAAAGTAGAAAGCATGAGGAGACACTGAAAAAGAATGGTAGTGGAAGAGTTTACTCCAGAGAGGTCCAGAACTACTACTCCAAAGAGAAGACCTAAGGGTATGTATGATAAATACCCAAAAATCTGAAATGCTACTGTAAATTAGAAAAGCAAAATATTTTTTTTTTTCTTTTTCAAGTAGGGATGGCATTCGAATTAGAATTAATTAAATTACAGTAAGGGAATTTTGCGGCTGGTGGTAGAAGAATCTCTGAGAATGGCTAGCACAAGTGGTTAGCCACAGGAAGCCTCTGAACCCTCTGTGGGGTAGGGCATTTCCAACGCACGCTAGTGCTGAGCTCATCT